ACTGTTTTAGTACAGTGCAAGAAGAAGAAACTTAATGAGAACTTTTTGCAAATGTTTGCCAAAGTGAATGCATAGAAAAAATTAGGATTCTAGAAATGTGTGGGTAGAAAAGTTTGGACGACAGCACATTTGAATTTAAATCATTGTGTTAATTTTCTTCTTCTTTAGCCGTTGCCAGGTCGTGGAGGCAGCAGTCTGAGCTGATGCGCCAAAGACTTCACTTTCCAAACACACTTCCTCCAGCTCGTCCAGGGGAATACCCAGGACAGATGAGAGACATAGTCCCTCCAGCGTGCCCCGGGTCTTCCCCTGGGGCTCCTCCAGGAGAAGTCCAGGAGGCATCCAAAGTCAAAAGGCAAAACTCTTGATTTATCGGTCGGTTAGACTGGTTCTGCCACCTGTCCCAAAAGAAAAACTGGGTGGGTTGCAAATGAAACAAATGTATTAGTATGATTACTAATAGCTGCTGTTGTCAGTGTCATGAATAACACACTATGTTTGTCTCAACAAAAAGACTGTTGGCAACAACTCTCAACAAATCTTATCAGTAAACATCTTTTGCATACTAAGAGCCTTGTGAGTCACTACACACACCTAAGAATTTTCACTTTTCTGTCAAAAAAGATTGTGACAAAAGTCCAAAAACACATGTGAAAACTAGTGATGGAACCACACTGTTCTAGAGCCAGGAACTAGTTATTATGAGAATATACATTGACATACAGAATGAGTCTGGGGTGTGCGTGAATGGTTGGTGGTGGGAGGGGCTGATGGCACAAACTGGTTGCCTCGCTTCTGTCAGTGAGCCCTAGGGCAGCTGTGGCTACCATAGTATTCATTCACTCCATACACGGTGGTGATAAACTAATGACTTATGAAGTGTCTTTGAAAGTCCAAAGAAAAAAATGCGATATATAACTGATGCATTATAATTATTGACTTTTTGTGGATTGAAAGTTGCGTAACCCATTTTTCAATTTATTCAGTGTTTGGAATATCATTAAAATCAACAACAACAATGATAATACAGAAAATCTCTTGTTTCTAACCTCCTTACACACCCTCTTCCTGATCCCGCTTGTTTTTCCTCCAGAAGTCAATCTCGCTGTGATGGATCCACTCATCTCGCCCGCATTAGAGTGCCACGGGACCGAACTATACTTTTAACAGCAGCAATAAAACTGATGACTGCAATAAAGATCCACTCTGGCATTATCAGGCCTGTTGATACAACTAATGCGCCCGGATCCCACTTCTTTTCCTCACACAATACACAGCGGAGGAAGAAACTGATTAACAAAGCAATTTATGTGATAATCAGCCCATAACTTTTGAATTCATGGAGCTTCCTTTTCGAGACGGCCGATCAAATTAGCATGAATCATTATGACTTGCAGTAGCTAGATTTTCCCTGGACACAACAGCTGCGTGCGAAGAGCTGATGGCGAAGAAAACAATTGGATTTAAACAAGTGTTATTGAAAAAGTGATCTGGCCTTTTATCTTGGCACACTGCATTCAGAGGGGTTTTAAAATCAATGGGTTTGGGTCACGGGGCAGGTTCTCTCTGTCGTCAATTTATCTGACTGACGTATTAATCCTTGGGAATATTGGCAAGAGTACACGTGTAGCTTTTGCAGTACATCTGAAGGGGAAAGAAGAGCAACATCAGGACCAGGGGGAAAACTTCAAATACCTGATCTTGCACATTGCAATCGAAAACGGGCAAACTACGGATCTACAAGGTCAGAACACGACAGGATTTCTTATAAAATACATTACACATGAACCCGTTTCTAAAGGGCGAACCGGAATTGAAACCCAAGGGCCAACCATAGTCAAGGGCCTAGTTATTTTGAGAGTGAAACTGGAAAAAAAAAACACAAAATGGCAAATTTGTTGATTTTTATTTCCAACACGCAACTGTCAACATTCGGGGATTGAGAAAATGGAGTCAAAACACAGACTCCCTGTTCAAGAAGGGCCAGGGCCGACGATACCTGCTGAGGAGGAGCATGTCTTATGGAGAGTAGGGGCCACTCCTGGAGACAATGCAAGTCAAAAGAAGCCAGAGCGCGTTGGGAGAAAAATGTGCTTGTGATTTAACTCTTTTTTCAAATTGTATTAAAATTTGTAGCAATAACTCTATACTATAATAAAATCTCTAGCTTTATCATTATAGGAAGCAAATCTAAAATCTCTAACTTTAGCATAACAAAGAAGCAAGAATCAAGTACAAGAATCCTGACTTTAGCATAATAAGAAGTATAAAGTCTATCGGTAGTGTGATCAAGAAGTATAAAATAATTGTATATGAAAACGAAGGAAAGTTAAAAGTACGAAGAGCTGTGAATGCTCAGCCTCTGTGAACCTCTCGCATATTTAATACAATCTCATACACCCCGACGTGAAGGATGTTATTCATATGTGTGAAGGGACCGTCTCAATCAAGCCCCAGAATCGGCCGCAGGAAAAACACTAATGCAGTGTCACATTAGTTTAATGTGCTCACACTTTGAGCGCGCGGCAGAGGAGCTTATGACAGTTACACATTTATTCAAGTTGCCATCACTAACAGAAAATGACAGACTCGCTGCTTATGAAATGATGATGAGCATCTTATGTACCACAGGAAAGCAACATGTAAAATCCCCAGGCCTTATTGACATATTTATAGGTTGTCCACAGGGCGCGTGCTGCTGTGTGCGTGTCCGTCTCTACAGCGGAGCTTTCAATCATGTATAAACACATACGCTGAAGAGACAGTATGAAATATTTTCCTTGTGAATTACATCTACAGGTTTTATATGTCCGAAGATAACCGGTCTACATGTACAACTGGTCATGTGTCATGTTTGACCAATTCTGAACAAAAGTTGGAACTGAAGTTAATTACAAACACATTCATTGTATTTCTACATGTTACGTTTATGAGATTATCCAATTAGAGCAGAATGAGACTCTCCCATGTGGATTTCCAGTTTGTTATGTGAAAATAAGATGATTTTGGCTCAATCTTTTCAATATAAATAACAAAATTCACAAATAAAAAAATAGCACCACTAGGACTGGGCGGTATAAACGGTATAAGCGGTATGCGGTATAAATTTGGCCCACGGTAGAGATTTTTGTTATACCGGCATATTGCGATAGGTCATTATGTCATCAAATTGCGCAGGCTCTGACGCCAACAGAGAGCATCAAAACAAACCGGCATTCAGCAGCATTAGCCTAGCACTATTAGCCTAGCAGACACCACTGGAAACAACAGCACGGCTTTCACACCGTGTTTCTGTCTCTGTATTGTTGTCACAGCGGCCCCAGCAGAGGTAAATACACACACAGCAATCACAGTTTACATGTCTACCTTTCGGCCAATGAGTGTCAAAGGGGCGTAGGCTCGAAGCGCCATTGTGAGCCGAAATAGATCCATGCTTGTGCCGTGTCCGCATCATCTCAGAAGTTTTGTAAAGTTAGCGTCCGATTCAGACTTCCGCGGTCAATAGATCACGAAAGCTACTTTGTTAAACAAAATTAATTGTGCCAAAATGAGCATTTACATCAATTGTTCAAATCAAATGCGCTGTTTTAATGCAGATAAATCCATTGAATCATCCAGTTCACAGCAAGCGCTTAGGGAGCGTCAACAAATGGCAAGACTAGCTTTGTAAACGAACAATAGCTTTTACTGAAGCCATGCATACGCACTAAACTCTGACACTATAAATAATGACCATGTCTAACTGCTACAGATATTATATAATATATTTTAATATTATTTAAAATTGCTTTCACAGTTAATGGTCTTTACTGTAACATACATAAATAATGTATGTTACAGCATTTGTCTCTGACCTGATTTTCAAACTCAAAAAATATATATCAGATTCTAATGTATAGATAAGTAACAATCTTGACTATTTTATGCAAGAACCTGCTAAACCTATATTGAAATTCACACACCAAATTATACCGTGATATATACCGTCTACCGTCTGTGACCCAAATCATACCGCGATATGAATTTTAGGCCATATCGCCCACCCCTAAGCACCACACTTTTGTTTGAATCAGAGCAGATGCAAAGTCATATGTAACACATAGAGTTTCTAGCTAAACTCCAGCAGGTGGGTTGCATCAGTTATCACTGCTTAAGATAAAATAACAGAACTATTATACGTCCCACAGTGGGATGTTTAAAACGCACATTCAGGACAGTAGTAAGAGCACACAAAATATATAAGTTGCTGTAATGCTTCTTACATGTGTCACAAGCCGGAAGACTGTCAGCAAAAGTTATATTTGAAGTATTTTAAATTATAACTTTTACTTTATTAAACAAATCAATCGGGATCTGATGCATACTGGGCTTCTCTTGCAGAGTTTTTCCAATGTGATTTTACTGCAAATGGCAAATAAATCATTGAATCTTGAATATCAGTGCAAATTACATACAGTCCCTTGAGTACCTAACCTTTAGTTTTGGTAAATTAATATAAGTTTGATTTTCCCAACAGAAAGAATCTTGTAAAAGTAAAGACCTCAGCATGCTTTCTTAACCTTAATAGACACATTATCTTTTGAAGACTTGAGTTATTATTTTGGGCTGATATCTGAGTGGCTGAGGGAGGGTGTCTGAAAAAGCTTATGTAAAGATGTGACAAGGGCAAAAAATACATGCATGTGACAACTCATGATCAAACCATTTATACCGCCTATTAGGAACCGTTTGTGGTCTTAAAGTTAGGTACCCCAGCGTTAAGTGGTTTTCAGTTGCATTTGTGGTTCTGCAGCTGCTCATATAACCAGTGAAATCCAATGTGTGAATGGCCATAACCTATTTATACAGCAGATCATTCAAAAATATTCCACTAAATGTTGGTTTTGTGAGTGCGCAAGTCAGTTTTTTGCCTGTTCAGCCAAAAGAGCGATGTGCCAGCTCGGTTCTGAATGGACACAGGACTGCCTAATGCACACTCTGGATGTCATTCTGCTCCTCTGATGCAGGCCAAGCAAACGCTAAGTGGGTCTGGCAGAGTGGAGGCTCCAGCTTCTGAGGACTTTGATTCGCAGCAGCCAGAGGATTTTATCATCCACAACACGGAGAGGAAATGGCTTACTATGGCCCCAGCGTTAGAGCCCTGTCTGTAATGTTACGCTGACCTATCCCCTCTGTTCTGTACAAGTGACGTCAAGCAGCGTGAAGTCAACCCTCTCCTGCTCACTCCACGCTCCTGCTACATCTGCCCCTCCTCCTCACGCCACGCTCGTCCAGGCTCTTGATTTGAATTCAGTCTGCACACATGTACTCCTTCAGTTATAAATACATCTTTTACAGATGCACAATATTAGGAAAACGCAATAGTGGATAGATAGATAACGGAGTTGAATATATAAATAAAATAAGTTTATAAATAAAATAAGTTTACATTCATAAATACTAAAACTAGTTAATTTCAATGGTGTAAAATAAGAAAGATTTGGGTAAAATCTACAGTGAAATCTTGTTACCATTAAAGAGGGAGCACTACAGTTTTATATTTCCCATAGAAAATCTTTGTAATAGATTTTTTTCCCTCTACGTCTGCTTCTATCGTAACTATCAATCGGGCGGTACGGTGACAGAGTGGATAGCACTCTCGCTTCTCAGCAAGAAGGTCCTGGGTCCATATACCGGTCGGAACAGGGCCTTTCTGTGTGGAGTTTGCATGTTCTCCACGTGTCTGCATAGGTTTCCTCCGGGTTCTCCGGTTTCCCCTACCACTAAAAACATGTACAATAGGTCTGGCATGCGCCTCCTGTACTGGCGACCCCACTCCCATCTCTGTGTGGAGTGAGAGACAAATGCCCACAATTGTAAACCGCTTTGTGACTCTGGTCTGTGAAAGGCGTTATATAAATAAAGATAACTTACTTAACTCCTGAAGTTTCAGAACTGCAGTATTTTCACTGCTCTTATTTTCTCCTGGATGTGTCCTTTCGGCTGGACCGAATGCACAAAGGTGCAACCCTGACAAAGCAGGACTTTCAGGGGTGCACCTGATCTATTTATTTATTTATTTGAATTTAGGACAGTACAAATTAATCAACGTGTCGGCTAACAGCATCAACATAAATATGCTGGAATTAGCACAATAGCAAAATTGCATCAATTTTTCTAAGGCAGGCAGAAACATCCAATTAGGGATGTAAAAAACTATGAATTTTCATGACCGACCACCGAGCCTCATTAACCGGTTGAAACCGGTTAACCGCGTAGTTTAAAATAGTCCACGTTCTTTGAAATAACAGCCATTTCGAGCCACGTACTTTTCATAAGTGCAGCTCTGCGTTCTACTGGATCAGAGCTGAGACAGCGGCGCCCAAACCCGCAACAGCTCCGGCACCTTTGCGCACAGAGAACTGCTTTTTTAATCTTCCCATTCTGCTGTGCTGCGGGTTAATACCAAAACTTTCTAGCAGCAAACGACGGCTCGTTCACATGGTCAGAGCAGCGAGTGACGAGCCGCGTCTCACAGGTCTTCACAAAAGTTTAAATACAAGTGATGTGTGTGGAGCTGATCCCGAGGACCATAAACACAAACATGTTCCATGTGGTTTGACTGGAGCCGTGTATTTGCGCGAATCCTTTGGGCTCCGTGACACAGAGGAGCGCGACAGACCGGTATGTGTGTGTGTATACTGTATGTGTGTGTGTATACTGTATGTGTGTGTGTATGTATATGTGTGTGTGTGTGTAAATGTAAGCTCCAATGTAGTTCTGACCCGCGCCAGTGTGCAACTTTGACGGTAACAGAGGGGAGAGATGATGCGTGTGGATGTTACGTATGGAGAGGGGGAGTGTGTGTGCGCGTGTGTGCATATGTGGCTCGTGCGGCGTGAGAGTCGTCCCGGAGTTTATAATACATGGGCGCACACAGCTAGATACAGACCCGCTCGTCACACCGTGCAAATAGGGCTTAAAATAGCGTTATTAAGAGACCTCCCCTTTCCCCTTTTTCTCTTTTTTAACCGACAGCTTTGACCGGTTAACGCTGTGACGGTCAACCACCGGTTAAACGGTCGCCGATTTACATCCCTACATCCAATCACAGTTAGGCAAAAGTACAAACAATAAGTCAACAAGTACAACAGTTCAGTTCACTCTCCTTCCAATCTCACATCAATAACATAACTCGGTCTGCCTACTTCCACCTGTGCAATATCTCTCGTCACCGCCCCTCTCTCACACCCCACACCACCGCCATCCTCAACCACAGCCTCGTCACCTCAAGGATTGACTACTGCATCTCACTTCTCTTCGGCCTCCCCAACAAATCCTTCCAGAAACTGCAGCTCCTCCAAAACTCTGCAGCTCGCATCATCACCCAGACCCCTAAAGCTCACCACATCACCCCCGTACTCCGACAACTCCCCTGCCTTCCTGTTAAACGACAAATCAATTTCAAAATACTCCTCTCCACTTTCAAAGCACTTCACAACCTGGCCCCTCTGTACTTATCTGACCTCCTCCACCCTGCCACTCCTGTCCGCACACTCTGTCCTCCTCCACTCTCACACTCTCCGCCCCCCCAGCCAGACTCATCACCGTGGAACACAGAGCCTTAAGCCACTCTGCCCCGCAACTCTGGAACTCTCTCCCCCCTGACCTCCGTACCATTGACTCTCTTCCACTCTTCAAATCCTGACTCAAAACCCATCTGTTCAGACTGTCCTACCCCACCTAACACATCTGCGCTACTTATTCTTCAAAAGGACGTACTGTATATCCCAATGCATTGCATGGATATGGATTGAATTTTTGTAATGAATACAAAAATAAAGTCAGGTAATGCAGTTATCGCACATCATTTTTTTCTGTATATCGTTCAGCCCTACTTTCTTCTGAGCAGGAAACATTTTTGTTAAGTAAATGTTAAGCATCAGAGAAAAAAGGAAATGGTATACTTAATATTGAGGGGAAAAACAGACAGAGTTCTCCTAAACCGTTTAACGTGATGCATCCTCCTCAGGCTCTGAGCATTTCTACTATCAAATCTATCATCACGTGCGTTTTTATAAAGGCTTCGTTGCTTTTTCTTTCCTTGTTTATTCCTACTCCCGCAGGTAGATAAGACTGGTGGGCTAAAGCAAAGTATGATAAGATAAAATAAGGCATAAATAGAATCACTCAGGTTGTGCAAAAGACAATGTCTTTGCAAAAGGAAATGTCCATCCATCCAGCCATTTTCTTTCCCTTTGTCCATTTCTGGAACCGGGGAGGTTTGGGATTGGCTACCACCCAATTCATAGAACCCCAGCCCCTCACTGATCCTCCTGCAGGTAGTGAGTCCACAGGAAGACGGCTGCTGTCAGTGACAACAAAGCCTTGATCTTTCGGCTGGGGAATCAGGCAAAGTGGGGTTAAGTGTCAACGACAGCAGACATCAGTGGGAGTCGGTGGAAAAGGTCTTGTGATTGGCTTGAACCCACGACCTTCAGGCTCAAAGGCCGACGCTCTACCAACTGAGTCACTGTCGCAGCCCTGGCCTCTGGCGACGGTCGCACAGGAAATGTGCAAACAGGAAATGTGGAGCACAGCTAATAAGAATAAAGGTATTCTAGTACAGTATACTGAGAATATCGCATTAAAATTCCAGTGGTTATGAACCTGGAAAGTGCTCTGAAACAAGTCAAGAAACAAATACCAAAAACCTATGAAATAGGTCTTAAAAATGAACAAATATAGAACAATATGTACAAGAGCTGAAGTAAGTTTTATTATGCAGAGAGAGGGCTCCAAGCTAAACACAGCAGATGTAGTGCTGCCTGGGAGAGTAATTGTATAAATACTTGCAGTGCATTCGTTTTGTGGCTTCAGAAAGTTGAGATGAAGCAGATGTCAGCGTTTGAAATAATACAGAACATAAAGAGGAATTTAGGTTACCAAATCTGTTTTTATAGATTGTTGTCTACCATTTACAAAGTGTATCATATGGTGGATGATTTCAGTTACCCTTGTGCAAAACCGAGTCGTTTCAGTGACAAATTCCAATAGTTAAGAGTAGGTGGCGCAGCAATTGAGGTGTGAAAGACCAGTCCGTTCTGAGGAGATGGTGTACGCTGGATCTAATGTTCTTATGTTTTTGAGCTGCATGTAAATGAGAGCAGTGGTGCATTTAAAGACCTTATGCCGGGTTTTTTTTTTTTTTTTTTAATTGTGGATATCAAAATTGCATGACAACGTCGATCTGAAATAGATTCCGGCAAAAAAAATCCTATATTTTATAAAAAAGAACGTGTTTTTCATGAATTTAAGTTGTCTATGCTCTAACCTGTGTGTGACGTCATAGCGGGTAACGCCCATGCATTGAAAACCATGGATCTATGCCACGGGACTGCCTTTTCTCTCTTCTCTCCACTGATGCCCAACACAATACTGCACTCTACAGGTGACAATTGCTCACTACACATAAATTGCCGTTTTGAGAGTGAAAATATGTCAAAGGTGGGATTTGAACCCCAGTATCTGGATTGGCAGTGCATCGACACAACCACTGGACTATCTCAGTGCCAACGAAATGTTACAATCTAGTACTAATATGATACTCGCTGTACACGGCCTTGTCATCTTGAATATCCGCAAAAAAAAGAACGAATACCAAATTGTAAACAACTTACAGCGTTGAAACGTACCCACTCTGACGTCACCAAGGGCTGTGACGTTTTTTCGTTTCTAAGGGCGTTGCTATGGGGTTTTTTCGATTTGGGGGGATCCGACATAAAAAACAACAACTGATTTTGAAACCTTTAGTAGTTCTCTTCTAATATAAAATGGTATTAAAAATAAGGTCTTTAAGCGCACGGGGAAAAGCCAAATTTGTATTAAGAAAGTCAAGTTTAGTGGACGTAAATTAAAACTTAGCAAGACGTTGAAAGAGGAGGTGGGAAAGTGTTCATCCCACTCTTTTCCAAGTAGCTCTATCAGTGTTCTTACAACCACTGTTTTGTTTTTGTGGTAAATAATGTATACTTTATTGTATGTATTTGGACGAATAAAGGCTCATGCTGTTGGGGATCAATACACAGTCCCTCGCTGCACGTGTTTTGTTGTTTTGCGTAGTTATATGAAAGAAAAGCAACATTTTACAGAAATCGTGGTGCTTTTAAGAGCGCTGTTGAATTTAACAGATTAAGATTCACAGATCACTTAAGATTAAGATTTAGCTGAGCGTGTCAGAAAATCCAATGCCCAAAACGTAAGGTTGTGTGATTACATTTGCTGAATGTGTCGTAATAACATT